AGGAAGGTGTGTGAGCACCAAGCAGGTGGCAGGCAGATTAGGGGCACCCTTGGACATTTGCTGAGTGGCCTTGGACCCAGCACTGGCACAGAGTTTAAACTGTATCAGAGTGTGAAGCAGAAAAACCACTCAGTCACAGACAACAGTACGGTGATTATCAGAGGGAAATGGGTGGGGGAGGTAAAAGAGAATGCAGTAGGGATAAATGGTGATGGAAGGAGACTTGAGGTGGTGAACACACAATACAATATACAAATGGTATATTACAGAATTGTATACCTGAGACCTATATAATTTTATCAACAATAAATGCCACCCCAACAAATCTAATTTAAAAAAGAATGCTGTTACGTATTAAAAAATCATTATTGCAGAATCCAAAGTAATAGAATTGAAGAATGGAAAGGGAGGTTGGATAGACCACCCATGTTCCTGGTCAGACCGCCTCCTTTCGGGGAGGGAGGTAGCGGAGTCTGTCTCGCTGTGAGGTGCTCCAGGTGCTCACGGTGACATGCTGGAGGTCACAGCCACAGAGAACCAGATTACCTGCTGCTGGCCCAGCACTCGCTTTGCTCTGCCTCGCTGACCCGATCGGAGTTTGGAGTATTCGTATTTATCTGTTCATCTGGAGGCAGCAAGCGAAGCCCTGTGAAACAGCTTGTGACTACTTAAAGGGGTTCGCCATCAAGTGTAAATGAGAACAGTACAGGGAAGACCTCAGAGGAGCTGTTAGAGATGAAAATACTCATTGTGCTATTGGAGCCAAAATGTGGAGAATGAGAGGAGAGAGGGTATCCCATGTGTGAGGACCAGCGAAGGCACACACCCTGTGGGAGGATGAGAACATGGTGCAGAGCAGGAATGGAGTAAGAAACAGAGTCTGCTGGGCTCCAAGAACCTGTGTTGGAGGGTAACTCAACTGCTGCTCGGTGAGGAAGGAACTGGGAGACATGGAATGAACAGAAAAGGGGAGGTTGGCAGAGTCTTATTAGACGCTAGAGGCCCCATGCATGACATTCATGTTTTAGGGGGGTGGGGAGGGGATCCCTCAGTCCGGCCTGCATCCTCTGGCAGTGTGGGACCCCTTGGACACTGCCCATGGCGGCAGACATCCCCCGAGGGGTCCTTACACTGAGGTGGAGGCAGGAGAGGCTTCCGCTACCACCACTGCACTCGCCAGCCATGAGCCCATTCTGGCTGAGGGGTGCTCCCTCTGTGGGAGCGCACTGAACACCAGGGGACAGCTTCTGCATTGAGCTTCTGCCTCCTCGTGGTCAGCGTGCATCATACCGACCGGTTGTCCCACTGTTTGGTTGATTTGCCTATTAGCCTTTTATTATATAGGATAGTTGGTAGAGAATGAAGGGTCCACTGGATTCTAGTCAGTAAATATAAGCTTCATAAGAGCAAGGATTTTCTTTGTCTGTTTTATTCACTATTGTATCCTCCGTACATAGAACAGTGCCTAGCACGAGGTAAACATTAAGTAAAATTTGTTGAATGAACAGACAAGTGAATGAACCACTAAAATATGGGTCCCAACAAGATTGAAGTTCTTGACTGAAGGGATAATTTGATAGAAATAGTGTCCAAGGAAAAATATTTTTGCAAAAGTGTAATGAATGGTTTCAATATATGAAGGAACAGAGACAAACCCTCCAGTATGTAATGACATGATGGAAACTCAAATAAGAATTGTAATCACAGGAAGAGAAAAGACATGGCTAGAAGGAAAATAAATGGAGGGGAGAGAACATAATATGGACTTGGATCTGGAAGCACAAAGATACCTTTTATGACCCAATGGAACCCAAAGGAAAACTTCAAAATCATTTGGATTCAAACTCTGTTACTTTTTTTTTTTATTAAGAAAACTTATATATTTATATGCATAGCCCATGGGCATGAATAATAGGGTGGTGAGGACCTTAGGGGGTGGGGTAGGAAGAAGCTGGATGGAAGGAGGTAAAGGGGGAGGGAAATGGGAAACATTTGTAATGCTGTCAATAATAAAAGAAAATATTTAATAAGAATAAAAGAAAAAAACTATCTATTATACAACATATGCTTGTCCTATACTCTGTTCACTATTTCAAAAATTGTTTCTAAAATTAGCAATATTTTAGTTAAAAAATAGACACCTGTGAAATCAAACACTAATGTTTTTATATCTTGAAATAGAAAACTGGCTCTAGAATTTATATATATAAAAGCCTAAGCAACTGAACTGTAAATATTTCTCTTTTCCATGTCCAGCGCAGCTAGAGAGCAGGTTCAGTTCCTGAGTAGGGACAGCTGGGGATTGAGAAAATGGAAAGAAAGAAACAGACACAGATAGAAGGAAAAAGCTGGGACCACTGCCCTCTTCTGATGGAGAGACAGTGACCCAGAGCCAATGCAGCATGTTTATTTTATACCCCAAATACAATAGGAAGCTTTCCTATTTGTTCCTGGTGCTTGGCTGGATTTACCTAATAAAACCCACCCACCCCTTGGCACCTGGGCTGAAATGAAGGGCAAGCTGATAACACTTCTGCCTTTTGTCAGAATGTGTTTCCAAGGTGAGGGTTTGTGGACCACTCTGGATTCAGCTGACAATTTAAAGAAAGGCCCATGTGCTTCCCAGGTGCTCTCTACACCGAACGACTGGCCAACCTGTCGTTATGATGTGCACTAACCACCAGGGGCAGATCCTCAATGCAGGAGCTGCTCCCTGCTGGTCAGTGCTCAGCTGACCAACAGGCACCAGATGCAGGGCTCACAGATAGCAAGCACCACTGAGGCAGTACGAGCCTCTCCCTATTGGGACTGACTGGGTGTGAGCCCACAGCAGGCGCAGCAGAGATGGTATAAGTGGGAGTAACAGGCAGGAGCAGCAGGAAGACCCCAAAATCCCCAAGGGGTCCTGGATTACAAGAGGGTACAGGCTGGTGCATAAGTCCATGCACTGAGCCTCTAGTATACATATAAGATCTTTGGTTAATCTCTTCCCTCCCTTCCCACCTGCTTCCCTCCGAGATTCATGCTCTATGTTTCCATGCCTATGGTTTCCACTCCTACATTGAGTGTCTGTCTGCCCCTGGTGGTCAGTGCATGTCATAGCTACCAGCCAGTCATTTAGGCTCTTATATATATAGATTTTAGTTAGTTAACCCTCACCCAAGGGTATCCATTGATTTTTAGAGAGAGTAGAAAGGAGGGAGGAAGAGGGAGAGACAGAGTGAGACAGAGAGAAACATCAATGTGAGAGAAACACATAGATTGGTTGCCTTCCATGTACATCCTGATCCATGGGGATTGAACCTCCAACCCAGGTGCATGCCCTTGTCCAGGAATTGAAACTCTGACCATTGAGAAACACCAGCCATGGCAATATTGCTGTATTTTTAAAAATATATATTTGTGTTGATTTCAGAAAGGAAGGGAGAATGGGAGAGAGAGAAACATTAACGAGAGAGAATCATTGATCATCTTCCTCCTGCACACACTCTATTGATCGAGCCAGCAACCTGGGTATGTATCTTGACCGGGAATCGAACCTTGACCTCCTGGTTCCTGTGTTGATGCTCAACAACTGAGCTATGCCAGCCGGGCTATTGGTGTATTTTAAAGTGCATTATCAGTTTGTTCCTCTGAAAGGATAGAGCTTTATCTGGTTTTGGTGTTTTGTCTCCCACTCCTGGCCATTGGAGTCTCTGGGGACAGGAAGAGTTAGGCTGGAGCTGGATGAGACCTGCAGGGCATTGACTCCATCTTATTGTGCCCTGGTGGAAGGAACAAACTCAGGGAGGGTGAGAGGGTGGCCACACCTTGTTCTGGAATGACCACACACACTGCTTCCTTGTCTTTGTATGTGGGCTTCCCTTGGAGGTCTAACTGCATGTTGCTACTTAGACCAATTTTACTTTCATAAAATATTTTAGTTAGAGCAGTAACTCTGTCCTATAATGTCAGGTCTGACCAGTTAAAATATGCTCTATTAATTTTTAAATGGTACCTATTTCTGTCCAAAAGAAGAAAAAAGCTGTGCTTCTGTGAAGTCTAATTTTCAAATGCCGCATTTTTCTGTGTATAAGACATTACTTTTTCTAAAATCGGTAGACTAAAAATTGAGGGGCTTCTTATACACGGAAATCAGTGCAGGTGCATAGCTAGCTGCCCATACCTTGTCAAACAGGCTTCCTCCAATCACAAGCCTTATTGTACCAACATCAGCTGATGCTGTATTGGTGGTGGAGGTGGAGAGTGCGCAGATGCAACAAGGACTGGAGCATTCTGAGCCTATAAAGATGTCAAAAAATAAAAAGATAAATACTGGTAAGCAATTGTCTTACTCTGCAAAATGAATGTATCCAGCTATGCAAAAGAGCATGGAAACAGAGCTTCAGAGATACTATTTGGACCTCCTCCCACTGAGTTTATGATCAGACAGTGGAGAAAACAGGAAGAAGAACTCCTGAAGATGCCAAAAAAGAAGAAGGACTTAAGAGGAAAAACAGCAAAATGTTTAAAATATTGATTTCTTAATTTTGGGTTGGAAAAGTGTGTGTGTGTGTGGGGGGGGGGCATCTTCTACACGGGAAAATATGGTAATTCACATATGCCTATTTAAAAATGAGGTAGGTTGTGCCATTGTTAGCTCTAAAGCTTCAAGGCTTATGGACACAGTGTGTCTGGACTCAAGCTGGGGAAATAGATGCACACAGATAGTGTATGGGTATGTGTAGTAATATTGTATTAGGTGGCCCTGCCTGAGAAGAAGCCATCATATGCTGAGGAATAATGTCGGAACATCAATAATACTGCACATCTTTATGTTTGGTAACAGCTGTTGTGAAGTTGCAAAAATCATCCTAGTGCCAGGGCATCTTCTTAGGAGTAGAACCATCTGCAGCGGGTCATAGGCGCTGGCTCTCTGTGATGTCAGGGTGGGTGTGGTGTAGGGGTAAAGCTCGGTGGTGTCACTCAGCGGACACACGTTGTTCTCTTCTGCTCTTCTACAGAGAGACACACCCACTGGACAAGCATGAGGAGTGCAGCCAAGCCCTGGAACGCAGTCGCCAAAGTGGGGAGCCATGGGAGTGACCGCGCACGGCCCCTTGCCACAGCCGCCTCTGGCATGAAGAGTTCTAAGTCTTCAACCTCGCTGGCGTGCGAGTCCCAGCTCAGCAAGGTATAGCTCAGGATGCACAGAGTCAGGGCCGGGCGTCCAGTGTCTGCTCGGGGGGATGGGAGGGGCCGGGAGTAAAGTTAGTGGCCTCCAGGGCTGGAGCAAGGCCTCCAGGGAGGGCCCGGGGGAAGCTAACGGAGCAGAGCAAAGGCCTTGTAACAGGGCCGCTTGGGATGGAGACAAAGATCTGCCAGATGCTTCCCTGAAGGCAGGCCCCTGCCCTAGATTAACAGACTGTCCAGGCAGAGCTCCGCCGCAGCACCCACCAGGTGGGGTCAGGATCACTAAGGATCTGGTGATCCGGGGCAGTCTCCATCCTGTCTTACTTGACAAGTAGCAGAGACAACACTTGATTCGGCCCCACGTCTGGGAATGTCTTCTCTCAGTTGCCTCCTTCCTCGGGCGCAGGGGTCTCCCTGCTGACTCCCCCTGCCCTGGTTTCAAATATTGGGTGGCCCAGGGCACAGTCCTTGGGCCTTAGCTCTTTTCTAGTTACTGTGTCACACCCAACACCTCCGTTACTACCCTGCGATGAAGTCAGGTAGTATAACCTACTTGCACATACATTTTTGAAAATTTAGTGTAATATTCTAGCTATAAGAGGAAGCTAGTTTATAATGAAATGATCCGCAGTGCCGAAACCAGTTTGGTTCAGTGGATAGAGCGTCAGTCTGCGGACTGAAAGGTCCCAGTTTCGATTCTGGTCAAGGGCATGTACCTTGGTTGCGGGCACATTCCCAGTAGGGGGTGTGCAAGAGGCAGCTGGTCGATGTTTCTCTCTCACTGATGTTTCTAACTCTCTATCCCTCTCTCTTCCTCTCTGTAAAAAAATCAATAAAATATATTTTTTTTTTAAAAGAGAGAAAGAAATGACCTGCAGTGCCATCCGCATGTGCTGCAGCCTGACTGTGCGGAAGGACTGGGACGCTCCCTGGCCACTGACCTGCGATGCGGCCTGGGGCAGGTGTGGTGTCTGTGCGTCCCATGTGTTCTTGACGTCCATATTTGGGTTTCCAACCAGGTCCCCTCCCACTGCCTTTGTGACTTTGCCTGTTGGATGCCTGAAAGGTTCTCCCAATGTAACAAGTCCCAAACTGCATCTTGAGGCCTCCCCCTCCAGGGCTCACCCCTCCCCTAGCCTGCTTCTGAATCTCCCCAGTGGAGTTCATGGCAGCCCCATTCTTTCGGCTGCCCAGGCCAGAGCCCATGGCATCATTTTTGAACACTCCTCATATCCCATAGTAATCAGGCGTCTTCAAACTACGGCCCGCGGGCCACATGCGGCCCGCAGAGGAGTCTGATCCGGCCCGCCAGGTTTTTTGGGCAGTGAGCGCAGCCGAGGTGTTACAGTAGGAATTAGTAGTTCATATAGTCCGGCCCTCCAGCTCTCTGAGGGACCGTGATCTGGCCCCCACTTTAAAAAGTTTGAGGACGCCTGCCAAGATGCCAAAAATTCTCCCTTAAAAATAGATGCCAACTCCGTCACCTCCCCTTACCTCTGTTGGACATGCCACTGCCTTCCCTGCACGGGCTTCCCCATGACCTCCCCATGACCTCTCTGCTTGTCTTTGCGCCATTATTCATCCTCAGCAGAGCCAGTGGTCCTTTTAACTTGTGAATCAGTGAATCACGCCACTTCTCCGTGTGGAACCCTCGAGGGCTCTCTGCATTCATTCAGAGTGCTCAGCACTGGAGACCTGCCCCGTTCCCGCTGGAAGCCATCGCCCTCCCCCTGCTCTGGCTCCCTGCCGTGGCCTCAGGCTCTCTGGGCTCAGTGGCGGTCCCTCTGATGAGCCGGGCTCACTCCTGCTGCAGTGGGTTCGCTGCTTTCTGCCCATTTCCTCCCTCTGAGCAGCCTCCCCCTCCTCCTCCTTTAAGTCTGTGCTCAAAGGTCCCCCTATCAGACATCATCCCTTCACACTGTACAGTGCCCTCCTCACTGCCGCGGCTCCTACTGCCTCAACCCCTGCTCCACATGTCCCACACTCACTGCTCCAGTGTCCCACACCCCCTGTTCTGCGTATCCCACACCCCCCAGCTCCAGTGTCCCACACCCCCTACTCTGCATGTCCCACACAGCCCTACTCTGCGTGGCTGTCTTTATGGCTGCATGCAACTCTGTCTCTCAGGCTTAGAAAAGCATCTGCTACCTGTAGGCCTGGGTCTGAGGAGGAGAGCGACAGGGCCAAGGGAAGGAGCGGAGAAGAGGGCGCTGCCCTGCCCACGCAGGGAAAGGTCATGGTGACAGGAAAGCTCGGAGACTGCGTCCCGGTCCCTGGGGTTGACTGTGAGACCTGCCAGGAAGTGAAGGGTGCACCCATCTCCCTCTAGCTACTCTTAGTAAGCAGGTACGCAGGGGTGGATAGGTATGTCTTTGGTCAAAACCAGGAAACAGAAACAAGTCCACCAAAATGGAGGGAAATCTCCTACTTCCAGTGCTGCCCCCTAAGGGAGTGAGAGAAGTAGGGGGAGCATGGCCCAGGGATGGGGAGGCCTCGCTCGCTGGCTTGCTCCTGCCAGTCAAGCCCAGTGCCTGGAGAGGAAGCGTGGGGGAGTGCTGAGGCGAGCAGGCCACCTCAGTCTGGCCTCTCAAATGACAGAACATTGACGTGAGCCAGCTCAGGCTGGAAAGAAATAGACTGAACAGACCCTAAGGCTCCCATGTCACTGTGGACAGGACAGAGGGACAGACTGGAGCTCAGAGAGGCTGGGACCCGGCACTGGAACATCCAAGACTCTGTTACTCCCTTCCACTTGCCTCTGCGTCTGTGTCACCTCTGGCGTCTGGTCTTCAGAGCGTGGTGCGAGCAGAGATGCCACAAGGCCAAGCCTCTCACATTCCTTGGAAGGCCTGGCTGCTTATTTACTTACTTCTGGTTTCCTTTAAAGAAAACTAAGGAAAAAAATAGGGAAATTCTGCTTGGCTAGGCATGTGCTGAGCCTGCCCAGACCCCTGTGAGCAGAGTCATATCGTTTAAGCATGTTCCTTACACATCTTGGGCACCCCGTCAGTCTTGTGCAGTCTTTCTTGGGGCATGTTCTAACCCCGCATTCCCCGGGCAGTACCCACAAGCCACATGCTGCAGCTGAGCCATTGGGACGTGGCCAGTCAAAACCCAGATGTGCTCCAATGTAAGTCACACCGGACTCAGAAGAGTTAGGACAAAAACTCCGAGTCTCCATGACTGCAGGGAAGCACTCCTTGTATTAGGCCCAGACTTGCAGGAAATGTCTCTCTTAAAGCTTATGTTTGTATATTTTTAATTTTTAATTTGTCTCTCATAAAGCTTGTGTTTGCTCAACCAGCTCACTCAGACCACACTCCATTCACTCAGCCATGGTCTCTCCAAGAAAGTGCGAGCTGGTTGGGAATGGCTCCAGTGGACGTAGCTCTGCAGTCAGAGTAGTCAGCAGAGGGACAGGTTTGGAGAACTGAGGGCCCATATCATCATACCAGCAATAAGCAGCCCACACGTGTGGTCTTCGGCTACATCTGTGCGCTGGTGTCTGGGTCTTGCCATCTATCCTGTGGTTTCAGTGAAGTTGCAGAGACAAGAGGAAACACAGGAAGACGTCTGCCAAATACAAATCTGGAATCCCAGCCCTCCTGCTGCATAAAACCACCCGCAGTCTCCACAGCAGTGGGCCCCGCAGATGAGATGCAGTACGGTGGTTGACATGGAGGCTGCTCCTGCTGGCCACAGGCTCCCACCGTGTCTCCTCGGGGCAGACAGCACTGCCTGGGTTTTCATCTCAAACCGGCTGTGGCTGAAGGTCATTTACAGCTTCCACCGCAGGCTCAATGTGGTGACCACTACCCTGGGGACTGGTGACATCATTGTCACACGGGCTGTGAAACCTGGAGAAAGGCAGGCCAGAGGTGCTGCATGGGTTTCCGCATAAACTTCAGTTTCTTCCCACAATGTTTGGTCTCCCTTTCCACGACAGAGAAGAGGGCAGAAAGGATTGAGGGTTCTGCTTTTCTTTCTGTCATTTTGGCCTCAAAATAACACGTCCTTTCTTCCCTTGGAACTCCTTGTCTATGGGAGACCCTGGGCGGAGTACTCGGTGCTGAGCACGGAGACCCCAGGCCTTGTACGTCTCTCCCTCTGCTTCCTCCAGAAGTGTATTTTTAAGTTAATTTTGTCCTTGAATGGTTTTGTGCATGCCCTGACTTTTGTGCATCTCACAGTTCTTTTTTCCATTCTTTAAAAAATATTTTCCCAGGAAAACGGGGTATTTTGGAATTCATTATTTGAAGTGTGGGCAATGGTATTATTCACCCCTAATCTTATAATATTCTTGGAAATGGTAGGAAAGATTTGCGCCAGCCTGTAAAAGACACTCACGGTGTGTCGAGCTTTGCATTGTCCCCTTCGCACTGCCTGCTCTGCCAAGGGCCACTGCTGCGCCGTAGCCGCTGGGCCGGGATCGCTCCCAGGCCTCCTGGTGGACAGCACTCCTCCTGATCCTTTTCCCTCTGCCTCTCTCTCAGCTCAAGAGGGCCAGCAGTGAGGACATGCTCAACAAGCCGGGGAGTACTGCCGCTTCCGGGGTAGTTCGCCTGAAAAAGACTTCAACAGCCGGAACCCTCTCCGAGCTCACTGAGAGCCGCCTGAGGAGCCACCCAGGTAGGAGGGACGCAGGTCAGGAATGCATGCCTGAGGGGCCCAGGTCAGGGGGGCCCAGCAGGCCGCCACTCTTGGCCTAGGACAGCACGTCAGAGACGGATGCATACCTCCCCTCGTCAGGTATGTGTGGAGCACTTACTCTGGGCCAGGAACTGGTTTAGGAACGTCCAGCCCATGGAGTCACATCTAGGGGGAGACAGACAAGAACAGAGAGGTCACGGGGATGCCGTGGGTCCCGCTGTCCTCCAGTTGTGCATCTGTCATGGTGCCTGTGGGAAGTCCAGCAAGGTGGCATATGTCCTGGGCTTGTCTTGGGGCGCCAGGCACTGAGGAGTGAATGAGCCAGCTCTGTAGGTCCCTCACAGCTGTGGTATTCAATAGCCCATGGAGATTGGATGTTCTGCACTCTGAGTTGCTTAGAGGGTGGTGGCCATGGAAATGTAAACTTTCTCAGCATCATTGTCTTTTTGAGAAACAGAAAAGGTATATATATATATATATATATATATATATATATATATACATATATATGCACACACACACACACATATATATATACACACACACACACACACACACACACACACACACTGGAGTGGGGGGCGTCCCTCAGCCAGGCCTGTGCCCTCTCTCAGTCCAGGACCCCTCGCTCCTTACTGCCCACCTGCTCACTGCTCCTTACCGCTCAGCTCACAGCTCCTTATGCTGCGTGGAGGTGGGAGAGGCTCCCACCATAGCCTCTGTGCTCACCAGCAGTGAGCCCAGCTTCCGGCTGAGCAGTGCTTCCCCTGTGGGAGCGCACTGACCATGAGCGGGCAGCTCCTGTGTTGAGCATCTGCCCCCTGGTGGTCAGTGTGCATCATAGTGACCTGTCATTCTGGTTCTCCCACCGTAATGGTTGCTTAGGCTCTTGTGATATAAGATATATATTGATTTCAGACAGGAAGGGAAAGGGCTAGAGAGATAGAAACATCATTGATGAGAGGGAATTATCGATTGGCTACTTCCTGCATGTCCCGACATGGGGACCGAGCCCACAATCCAGGCATGTGCCCTGACTGGAAATTGAACTGTGACCTCCTGGTTCACAGGTCAACGCTCAACCACTGAGCATGCTGGCTGGGCCAGAAAAGGTTTTTTAACCATTATATTTGAATCCAGAACATAGGAAACTTAAAACATGAAAGAATAGAGGAGTGACATCAGAGGTGACGAGAAAGGCTACTGTGGTCTCTTACTTTGAAGTTACAAGTTGAACAGCTATAGTCAATAAAGGATTCCCTGCTCACATACAAACACATCTGAGAAATCCTCACACTGAAGGTAGGCAAATCCGAGGGAGCAGGTGGGGTGGGAAAGGAGAAGAACAGAAACAGGTGCCACAGATGCAGCCCATCGCTCACTGCCGGCCTCGGGAGAGGGGAGGTATTGGGGTGCCACCAGCACCCCGGAGGAATAAAGAGATGCCGTGAGGTGAGCAGGCGTAAGGTAGTGTTGATATAGGCTGCACTCGAACCCAGTGACCTGGGCAGAGGTGTTTCGGAGTGCCACCATGGTTGTATGGTGTCTGCCATGGCAGGCAGAAAAACAGCCATGGAGCCAGGCTGGCGCCCCTTACCCTTCCAGACTAGTGGCCAGCCCCATGAGGAGCTGCAGCCGTGAGTGTTGAGCTACAGAGCATGTTATCTGCTGCCCTGAGAACTGGAGGGAGAGAAACAGTTCCCCCTGAGCAGCAGGTGCACCCGGCAACTAATCGCAGTAACGAGCGAAGACAAAGGCGAGGCAGCTGATGTCTGGCAGTCACCATTCCTACAGACATACCAATAGGCCTCTCCCAGCTCACCCACCCCAACCCATCTCTGCAGAGCACAGCACTGGGATTTCACAGGCCTGGAACCCGATCCCTGGCCATGCTGCCCCATGGGTGCGGAGCCCTGAAACTGAGGTGACCTGGCCACAGCGGAGAAGCTCCCCTCCCCAGGAATGGAAGACATTTTCCACCATCCAGCAGAGATCTGACAAACCATAGCAATGCCAGAGAAATTTAAACATTGTGCTTCAGTGTCACCTACTGGAGAACAAAAGAAAGACTTCTTATCAAGCTACTAAATAGAGAAGCTACTCTTAAAAAAAATAAAAGAAAAAAATAAAAGTTCTGGTCAAGATGGTGGCATTGGTAAATGTGGTACTTGAGTCCTCCTACAACCACATCAAAATTATAACTACAGAGCAACCTTCATTCAGAACTGCCTGCAACCTGGCTGAATGGACATCCTGCAACTAGGGACTTAAAGAAGAAGCCACATTGAGACTAGTAGGAGGGATGGAGATGCAGAACAGGCTGGTCCCACACCCACATATGATCTATAAAAATTGGGAAGGATATCTCGGCTGCAGAGGTTCCTCCTGAGGAACCATGGGTCCTAGCCCCACAGCAGGCCAAGGTTCCAGTGCCAGGAAGAGAAGTCCCATAACTTCTTGCTGTAAAAACCAGCAGGGATTGTGGCTGAATTCCAGGCAGTTCCTCTTATAGGACCTGCACATGGACTTACTTGGGCTCACACTCTCTGAGCTCCAGTGCTGGGACAGCAGCTAGAAAGCTACCAGGGACATACAGGGAGGAACTGAATTGTCTTACATTAGGGCAAGAGCTCAGGGTGGCAGCTTTCTGTCAGACAAAAGTGATGGCGGAGGTCATTCTTCCTTTTCAGAGCCACCCCTCATCCTGGCAATTCCATGAGACTCAACCCCATTTTGCTTGCATGCCCATCCAAACTGTTTCAAGTGGCTTTTCCATACAAATGGTCTGTCTTGGCTCAATCTCTCAAATAAGCAGCAGAATCTGGCCTCAGTATGCCCTATACTCTGGCTACGTGGCCCCAGACCTGTTATTAGCAGCAGCCAGTCTTGGTTCACAACTTGGCCTCACCTGGGCACCTCCAAGCCCAACACAAGCAGCAACCATCTGCAGATGACTTTGCAGCTCATGCCGGGTGGCCCTGGACAGAACACAGGTGGCAGCTGAACTTGGCCTGTACCACCTGGGAGGCCTCAGAGCCAGCATACCTGGTAGATAGCTTCAGACCATGTCAAAGCACCACCCAACCACTTCCACAAGTGACACACTCAAGGGATAGACTTAGCAGGCACCAGCACCCCATTGAAGTAAGTCCTGATCTTTGGGGTTGTCCCCTGTACATTTAATCCTCCATAGTGGTCAGTGGTTACAGCCAGTCCTTACAGGTAATCTGACTGGGGGTAAATCTCTCCCTTTGATGGTCTAATAGCAACCAAGGCTCCACCTCTCTGCAATTGTACAGCAGTGTTAGGGGGTCACTGGGCCACATTTTGTCTTTGTTTTACATGCACAAAGAGCAAAGAAAGGAAGGAGATGATTTTTTTGTGTTAGAAAGGACACCCCGCTTTGCATGCTCACTGGACTTACCGTATTTTTTGGACCATAAGACACACCGGACCATAAGACGCACCAGTTTTTAGAGAAGGGAAATGAAGAAAAAAAGATTCTGAAACAAATAGTGTCCTAAAATATTTTATGTGCATTAAAATCCAACATCACAGTCATAAACACATGTAATCAACCCTGTAAAGTAAACAGCAGCATTTAGAACCATTTTAGAGCCGGGCAAGCACACAGAGACCACACAGAGCCGGGCAAGTAAAAAAACTTTTTTTTTAAAGTATATGTGTAGGCTATATTTGGACCATAAGACGCAGGGACTTTTTCCCCCCACTTCTGGGGGGAAAAAAGTGTGTCTTATGGTCCGAAAAATACGGTACATTCATTCTCTAGAGATTCGTCTGTTAAGGAAAATAAAAGAAAATGAGAAGAATGCTAGCACTATGTAGTTGGTTTCCTGTTAAAAGGAAGATATAATTATAAATTATATATAGACTCCTTGAGGACAGACTTTTCTTTATGGCTTAAGAGTTTCCCTCAAGTCTTATTGTTGAACTTTTGGCTTTGTGACAAGTTTTCTATAAAGGATGCTATTATCTGTGCTTTCAACTGTATTAATTTTTAAAGGGATCTTGTCATCTTATCTAATAATAGACAAACATGCTAACTGACCATACCTTTATGACACTCACAGCCAATCAGGAGCAAGTATGCAAATTAACCTAACAAAGATGGTGGTTAATTTGCATACACACCGACCAAGTGGCTGGAGGCAGGTTGGGACGCTTGCATCGTTGCCATGGCGACGATGCAGGCATTCCACCCTGTCCCCAGCTGCTGTGGGCCTTTGAGCAGCGTAGGAAGGTGGAAAGGTGGCTCAGGCCAGAGTGAAAGCAGTGCCAGAAGCCAGGGAAAGAAAGGCCCATTCTGGCGTGAATTTTTGTGCATTGGGCTTCTAGTCCTATTAATAAAAGCCTATATGATCTTCATACCCTCATGCCATGACGCCCTCACACCACAATGAGCAATCACCAGGAGGCTGTATGCAGGTGGGCAGGGGTTGACACTGCATGTGCAGAATGGAGGGCGGGCCCGCGGCTCCAGCCTACCTCTTTGGGGCAATCCATTGAGAAGCCCCGGATGGGTGGGCAGGGTGTCTCTTTGGGGCCATGGATCATAGGGCTCCCACACTGTGAGAGGGCACAAGCCAGGCTGGAGAAACCCATTCTCCCCCTGAGTGCATGAATTTCATTCACCGGGCCTCTAGTGAAATTATAAAACAGTATTGTGGTTTTAATCTCACCATAGTTAAACCTACCATAAGCTTGTATTGCACCCTTTCTTGGGAATTGATCTGTCCTTAAGGAGAACCGTCAAACCTAGTACCAGAGAAATAATGGCAATGGACCTGTAGAGCATTATGCTAAGTGAAATAAGCCAGTGGGAGAAAGATAAATATCACATGATCTCACTCATTTGTGGAATATAATGAACAACTTAAACTGATGAACAAAAATAGATCCAGGGACAGAGAAACACTGAACAGACTGTCAAACTTCAGAGGGAATGTGGGGGAGAGGGG